CGCAGTGCACCGCATAATGGTCGATTGAATCGGTTCACTTGGTTCTCGCACAGCCAATTTAGCGGAAGCCTCCTGGACGCAGATGGGAGACGTTAGGGTGATGTGGGCGGATTCCAGCGGCGCTCCGTTGTCAATAAGGATTCCTTTGTATTGTTTTCTGTGGAATCCACAAGCGCTCCATTTTGTCATACGGATTCCTTCTAACATTCGATATGCAAGTGTGGCGCTGTGTTGCACACGGTTGCTGTGGTGCACACAGGCGACGTGGTGTACACAGGCACTGCAATGCACGCAGGCATTATGGTGTACACCAGTGCTGTGTTGCACACGGCTGATGTGGTGTACGCAGGCGCTGCGGTGTACACAACAGCTGTTGTACCCGCGAGCACGGTGGCACAAGCTGACGCTGTGTTGCACGCGGCTGTCGTGGTGTACATACGCGGTGTGGTGTACACAGGCGCTGTGGTGCACGCAGGCACTGTGGTGTACACAGGCGTTGTGGTGCAGATCGCCACCTACATGCTGGTGCTACGCGTCCGTCGTCACTCCTAGGCATTCCCAGACGCCGCCGGCGCGAAACATGATGTCATCAACCCCCTCCATACCCCCTCAGATGATTGCCGTGATCGCCCCGGAACAAATAACAGGCTCCAGCCGCGTCCGTGCGCACGACGACGATGACCGACGAGCCACGAGCGATGACGACGACGACGACGACGACGACGACGACGACGACGACGACGACGACGACGACGACGACGACGACTGCGGACCACTCCTATGCGGATTCTTACGCGGACACCTACGCGGATCCCAGCGCGCACGGCGGCAATGCCCGGAGCGCACTGGGGGGGGGGGAGCGTTACGTCATAGGGGGGGGGGGGGAGCGGGGGCCATGACGCCCCCAAGCAATAAAGAAATGGTCTCAAGCTCCCAGGAGGCCCCCAAGAGGCCCCCAAGAGGCCCCCAAGAGGCCCCCAAAAGGCCCCCACGAGGCTTCCAAGAGGCTCCCAAGAGGCTCCTAAGAGGCACCACGACTGCCCTCAGAGGCCTGCGAGCGCGCTCCGAGGAAAGCCCACGAAGCATCCCTGAGGACTCTGCCCCTCGGCAGCGTCGTCATCGCCGCCGACGCCGCGGTCGTGGTCGTCGTCCCCCTTCAAGGTCGTCGGCGCCGGCCGTAAGGCCGTCCCGATCTGGATCATGCGCGGGCGCCCCGCGACCACTTTGCGCTGGCTTTAACAAGGACTGTGGGGATGCCGGCACATTACCTGCTGCATGCAGGCCGACCATGCCTGTCATTTAGCATGGGGGAAACGAGTCCTGAAGGAAACGTGTCCTGGACCCTGGGGCCTTCCCCCAGGACGAGTTCGTCATTGTGAATCGACTTCTGACGGTCCCGGGCCCTCCTCGGAGGGCCTTGGGAAGCAAAAAGCAACGAAACAACTCAGGACCCGTTTCCCTCAAGACCCATTTCCCCAATGGCGAACAATTTTGCATGTCGACATGGACGGCAGGGATGCCGGCATATTGCCTCCTGTGCGCAAGCACGCCGTCCCTGTCAGAAAACGATGCTCAATACACTGTGTGCTGCGCATGTCCCGTTTGCGCAAAGCTTCCGAGAGCTACCTGCGATGCCCCACAGGTGTCGTCCGCGTAATTCCCTGGCGCAGCTGGCACGCCTGGCACGCTTGGGCCTCTGGGGTGCCTGGTGCACCTGAACCCGTGGTGCACGCGGCATGATTCGCGGTCCTAGACGACATGCTGAGACTCGGGTGCTACTTATATTGTGGACGTTGGGATTGAGCCAAGCAGTTTGCGTTTGGGAGATGTGTCTTGATCACTGCTTCTTATTACAATACACCCCCTTCCCCACCCGACTGGCGACAAACCCAGGACCATGCGGACGACCCCCACCATCCTGCCGTCGAGAAATCATACCACATACAATTTGCACCACAATTTGGATAATGCGCGGACGTCCTGTTATCACTTCTCTTTGGTTTTTGACCTGGACGGCGCGGGTACCAGAATATAGCCTGCTGTGGGCAATGCCCCCCGCCACCATTCCGAGCTAAAACCTGTTACAAGGGACACGTTGCGCCAAAATCTGGATCATGCGAGGACGTTCCGCGATCACTTTGCATTGGTTTTGGGGATACGGCGGGGGGGGGCTTTCTCACTGTTCCCTCTTACATAAACACCCCCTCCCCTACGCGACCAGCAGCCAACCCAGACCCATGCCGACACCCCCCACCATCCCTGTCAAAAAACAGCAGCATACACTCTGCCTTCAAATCTGAAGCATGCGCGGGCGCCCCGCGAACATTTTACACTGGTTTTTGACAGGGGCGGCGGGGGCCCTCACATTGAACGCTGCTCGCAAGCCAACCATCCCTTGCAAAAACAATGGAATGTCTATTCCACTTCGAATATATAAATCCGGGCTTGCGCGCTCCTGGCCATCCTGCACCGCCCGAGTTGGCCCTTGATCGGTTCCCGAATGGTCCCGCGGAGCACCGAAACGGCCCAAGACCTCTCTAGAACGCCCATGCTAGTCTCAGGACGGCCCTAGGACGGCCCCAAGACGGCCCAAGAGCGTTCAAAGAGGGCCCCAAACGGCCTCAAGACGGCCAACGAGGCCTTCAAGGCGCTCCAAGACACCTCCCAAGAGCGCCCGGAAGAGGCGAAAATCGCGCCACCCCCGTATGAAAGCGTGCATGTCTAGCACACAGTGGGAATTCGACCACAATAAACCTTCCACAATAAACCCAACCCTGAGACCCCAGGACGTCCACTGATTTCTGGCGTGGGAACGTCACGCTTTCCATACTAGAACCCTCGACACCCAAGATACCCAGGGCAGCCTGGAGGCAAGCAGGGTGTTTCGTGGCATTGGTTTCCACGGTATTCGCTTCTTCGGTCTAAACATTGAGCAAGGGCCGACCGCCCCAGCATTCCCAATTACAGGCCTACCGAGTAATGCTCGTAAAACCAGCAAGCGCGTTGATACCAAAAACCATGTTCTTAGAACATAATCCCGACGCGCTAAAACAAGACAGCCTCAGCCAGAACTGGTCTAAACAACCTCGGTGCAAGCCACACAAGGTTCTTAGAACATTCGTTGGTGAGCCTATAGGCAAGCCAAGACGCTTCGCCATCGCCTGAAAACAGTGCCCGAAACGGCCAACGAGATCCTCAAGATCGTCCCGAGACGGCCCAAGACGCCCCAACGAGGGCCCCAAGACAACCCAAGCAAGAGGGCTCCAAGACAGCCCAAGAGATCTCGAGACAACCAAAAAAGGGCCCTGGAGAGCCCCAAAAAGCTCCCAAGAGAGCCCCGAGAGGGCCATAGGAGGCCCCCATGAGGGCTTAGGAGAGCCCCACGAGAGCCCCAAGACGGCCCAAAACCCTCAAGACAGCCCAGAGGAGCCCCATCACAAAGCAATTCGACAACAGTACACGCCATTCGACAACAGTACAAGACATCCGAGAAGGAGCTATGAGGAGCGCGACGACGACGACGATAACGACAAGGCCCGCGAGTCGGAGCCTGGGCTTCGGCGGCCGCCCTTGTCGACCCCTTGATTCTCTCCTCCTCACTTGCCTCCTCGCCTTCCGTCCCAGACATCCAGCGTCACGATTTGTTCGCAACTTCGCCCCCCCAATCTCCAGAAACCTTTCCCATGACAGCCTTTTCACAACTGGTCGTGTTTTGTGATTGGCACCAGGCGCAGCGACTGCAGGACGCGCTTTCCAAGGCCATTCCAGGCCTTACCAGTCCCATCGGCTCTATGACTCTTCTGGGCCCTACGAGCACTGGGGCCACTGTCACCGGTGACATGGGCGGCCTGGGGGGGTGCTCGTGTGGCCTCGTGAGACGAGCGATAGGAGGAACCTGCGGGCGCCGAAGGCAGGCGGCACGAGGGCGGACGGAGTCAAGCCGAGGGGGAAGAGGGAGGCGGGAGGCGAAGCGGGCGGACAGTGGAGGGACGAGCCGGGACAGAGAAAGCGTGATGGGATGCGCGGCGGGGGAGCAGGATCATGGTCGACGCAGGGAGCAGAGGCTGCTCTTCCCCGCTCTGTGCTGTCTGAGGCCTCGTGCTGGCCTGTCGGTGGGGTCTCCCGGGAACCGCGTGAAAGATTTGTTGGGGGGCATTCTGGAAGCCAGTGGGCGCACGGCAGGAGAGATGGGCGGAGCGGAGGACTGGGCGGGTCTTCAGGAGCCGCGCCCCAGGGAGGACCCAGTCTGTGGAACAGCAGCTGGCAGTGGCATGATACGCCCTAAAAGGTTTCACGAACATTCATGGTGTAAAAACAAAGTCGCGCAGCACTCGGCTCGGTGGTACTTACAAATCGAAACGATCGAGCGCTGCTTGCGTGTTTCGCTGCATTCTGAAAGATGTTCGGGTATTGTGGGAAGTCTCTCTCGCGACCCTGTGGGCCCGAAAGAGGGCTCCCCTTACGCCCGTCAATGCATCTTGGGCCCTCTGGGTTGTTTGGAAGCTTCTTGTGTGAATTCTTACGGGCTCGCGGGGGGACAGGAGTGTGATGGAGAAGGGTGGGGCGGCCTGCGGACGGGGCGGGTTTCAAGGAGCCGCGCCCCGAAGGACACGCCACTGAATCTTCTCGGACCTCTCGGCGCATCTTTGCAAGCGCTGGTGGCTTCAGTGCTGGGATGACCGTTGGGGGCTTCGAAGTGGATAAGGAGGATGCAAGTGGATGCTAAGGTCGGTTATATCTGGCACAACCTGGCTTATAAGTGGGTTACAAGTTCCCCGAGTGGCTTATGGGGGGCTAGATAACTTCGCTAAGTTGGCGGAGCCCACTTAGCCCGGATCGTTAACCCCCGAAGCTACTCGGGGCATTTGTAGCCCACTTATACAAGCCAGGGTGGGCCAGATATAGCCCACCTTGGTATCAACATCTAACCCCCCTTATCCACTTAGAAACCCCCACGGTCAGCCCAATAGCCTCCAGGGGCGGTCCGGGAAATGCTCAAGGAGGGAAGGGGGTCATGGCTCTGCACGTGGCGCGTGAACCACTCCTGGGCCAGCGCTCGTGATCATAAAATGGGGCTGGGAACGCCTGCCCAAGTTTGTGCAAAAGCATCGCCGTCATTGCGGGGATACGTGCGCACGTGTTTGTACGCGACACTTGTCACAACGCTCAAGCGACCCAGACACAACCACACCACTAAGCAGTGGGTAAGTCGGGACATCCTGTTCCTCAGGCCGCCATTTAAGCTGACTTGAAAATTGCGCGCGCACGTGCATGAACCGGGAAGGACGGGGGATACGGACCTAGACTCGTCCAAACAAATTGAGCAGCGGCATCGCCGCTCGACTGCTCTGCAGTTGTGTACCCTCGAACTCCGTGAGATGTGAGCGAACGCAACGAGGACGACGGACTCGCGGCTAGCATTGAGGGCAAACCTGCACCAGCCTTGCATCGGCCAGACTTGAGGATAAACTTGCCCCTCGCTTGATAGCGTTGCACAGCGACGGCGTCCCCAGTCGCTTACAGCCAGACCGCGGACAGAATAACATCCTAGAAGGACATGAGACCCTCCGCCGGCCAAACCACACCAAACCATAAGATCACTGAGGGCACCCTTCCCAAAGATGCACACGAACATCCAAAAAGCACAAAGAACATTGGGGCTCCCTCCCCGAACTGACCTCGATCTCATATCTCGGTCTGGCCGTACTGTGTGCCAGCGGTCTACAGACAATGAGAATCAGCCTCCTGGCGCAGAGCCCAAGGCCAAAATCCCTTTGCAGCTGCGTTCAGCGCAAGGGATGCAACTCCTGGGAGGTCAAATTCTGATTTTGCCCTGGTCCGAAGTCCGGCTCAATCCCGCTTGATCCCGACGAATCCGGCTTAATCCGAGGCCCACTCTGGCATAACAGCCCCCCAATGGGGCTTAACCCTTTTAAATCATTCCGACGAAAGCCTCCCAGTAGCTTCCTTCCTTTGTTCACCGCATCCGTGCGCCCAGCGAACCTCGGCCATCAATAAGTTCCACGACATCAATCTTAAGTGGGGCATGTCCCCCTAGAAGCGGATCTTGGACGAAAAATGGAACACAATCAAGACACAACATAATCAAACAACAAAAACTGTTTTTTCTTTTAAAAGGAAAAAACATCCCTGGACTATTTTTGGGCTATGTTTGAGTATTCCTCCTGCAGAGGGACGGGCCCGAATTGGGGAACATAACTCTATACACCGACACTTTTTCCGGTCTGGCGCTGAAGCTCGCACAAGAACGCGGACGCTGGTGTATACGGGATGCTGGTGTATACATGTTCCGTTGCTTCCCCCGGGAAAGCGGGGGAACAACCATACACCACGCCACCCCGACGTCGTCCCCGACCCTCCAAACGTCGTGGGATTGAAGAGACAACCCGCCACTGGTAATGCATATGTTCCAGCTTGGAGATGCCGGGAACGGCCCGAGAGCCCGAGCCCCTCCCGAGCCCCACCCAGTCCTTGCATCTCGGCGTCGTCTTGGCTGCGGCACCGTGCCGCGGGGCAGAGCGGGCAGGCGGCTGCGGAGCAAGGCAATCCCCAGAGATCCAACGTAATGAAAAAAATCAAGACGGAGGTTTTTCGCAATTTTTGGCCTCCAGGAGCCCTCGACGGGCCCCAGGACCGTGAAAAAACGACTCATGATGAAAAACTGGTCCTGGGGAATGGGTCAAGACTTCCAGGGACCCCGTATGGAAAAAATCACGACATCGGATCTCAGGGTCACAGGCTCGCTGAAGCCCCACGGCAGGGGGCCACATGCGAACCCCTACCCCTGCACCCCACGACTTCTGAGGTGGGTACTGTAAGAGTAGGGTTCCCTTCGCTCGGGAGCTCCCGAGCGAAGTGGACCCCACCCTCCCCCCTCAGAAATCCTGGGGGGCAGGGGTGGGGTTCGCATGTGGCCCCCGTGGGGCACGATCCGTGCGAGGCGTGTGCCGAAATGCGCCGGGTGCGGCCTGCGGGCGCACCGACGGGGGCCGTGCGCGGAGCTTCCTGTGGGGCGCGAGACGCGCGAGGGGTGCTCCAAAGCTGCGTCCTGCAGTCACAGTCTCTCCTGCCGTAGACGGAGCCTCCTTCGGGGCGCACGAGACGTGCGAAGGGCGTGTTGAACTTTGCGGTGCGGAAACCTTCGAACGCATCCACTGAAGCCAGAAATGAGGCTTCCAAAGAGACGCGATCCGCGTGAGGGGTGTGCCGACATGGTCGCGGAAGCGCCATGCGAGAGCACCCAGTGAGGCAGTAAATGGAGAACTCCCGGGGAGACACGATCCGTAATAGGGCTGTGCCGGAACCAGCGAGGTATCGCCATGCGAACGCACCCACTGCGGCCAGAAGCGGAGACCCTATGGGACACGACCCGCGGGAGGGCGTGCCCAACTGGGACTCGGCGGCGCCATGCAAGCGTAGCCACTGGGGCCATACGAGCAGCCACGATGCACAAAAGCGGTGCTCCAAATGGGGCACGGGGGCACCGCGCGAACACGCACAGACCCCCCCCCCACACACACACAAACACACACACACGCACGCACACACACATACACACACACACACACGCACACACGCACACACTTACACTTACACTTACACACACACACACACACTTACACACACTTACACACACTTACACACACTTACACACACACACACACACGCACACGCGCACACACACACACACTCACTCACCCACTGGGGTTAGGTCGGGCATGGCCCCCTACAGGCGGTTTTTGGGCCAAAAATTTCACCCCCCCAACATATTCAAAAAAACAGAAACAGTAAAAACATCGTCCCCTGACTATTGTTTGACTATTTTTGGATATTCCCTCTGTAGAGGGACAGGCCCGACTTAAGGCTATGAGTTTCGAGCCTCCTGTGGGGCACGATCCGCGCACGGAGCGCGCCCAAAAGTGCGCGGGGGCGCCGTGTGAACGCACCCACTGGCGCCTCACGGGCAGGTAAACGCGTTCCACTACTCGCAAAGTAACTGCTAGCAAATGGTCGGGCATGTCCCCCTACAGGCCGATTGTGGACGAAAAATAAAAACACCCCTAAACAGACTCCAAACATGCTCAACATTAGTTTTAAAACATCGTCCCCATAGTATATTCGCCCTGTAGAAGGACAGGCCCGACTTAATGCTAGCAAATGGCCTGGATCCGATGTATCGAGGCAAACAGGCTCCGATGTATCGAGGCAGGCGGGCTCCATCGGACGTTTGCGAGTAGGCACTCTGCGAGTAGTGGAACGCGCTCGGTGAATTGGGCACGGTCCGAGTTGGGGATGCGCCGAAATGGGCGCGGGGACGCCATCGGAACGCATCCACTGAAGCCATGAGTGGAGGTCCCTATGCAACCAGATCTGTGTGAGGGGTGTGCCGAAATTGGCGCGGCGGAACTATGCGAAAGCACCCAAGGACGCCACAGGTGGAGATCACTATGGGACATGATCCGTCTGATGGGGTGTGCCGGAATGGCTATGTGGACACCATGCGAACGCACCAACTGGCGCCGTACGTGGAGAACCCTATGGCCTATCGGGCACGATGAGTGAGGAGGGCGAGACGGGCGCGGGGATCCCATGCAAACACACCCGCTAAGGCCATATGTGAAGCCCCCATCTGGGAGGGGGTCTTTGTGAGGGATGTGCCGGATTGGGCGCGGTGACGCCATGCATGCACGTACCCACTGAGGCCGTAGGTGGAGCTCCCCGTTGGGGAGGAGGAAGAGGAGGAGGAGGAGGAGGAGGAGGAATGGGAGGAGGAGAAGGAGAAAAAGGAGGAGGAGGAGAACGATCCGTGTGCGTGGTGCGTCGAAATGTTCGGGGCAACGCCATTGGGGCGCTGCCTCGGGGGCAGCAGATGGAGCTACATAGGGTGGCCCCCAGACGTGTGAGGGGTGCGCTGCAAAGCAGCAGCGGAGGAAGGCAGAGGCAGAAAGAGGAGGAGGAGGAGGAGGAGGAGGAGGAGGAGGGACAGATCACTGCACCGACCTTGCAGACGTGCTGCAGCGGATTGTTGCGTGGATTTCTGTCAATGCAAAACCCCGAGACGGCGAGCGAAAAACGACGTGAAGTTCACGTGGATTGTTTTTAGTCTTAATCACTGGCCCACGAAATTCACTTCGAAAATCCATAACGAAATTCTCCAGGACACTCCAAGCCCATCCTATTGTTTTCCGAACGAAATCCGCTCTGAGATGTTGGCGCCATGAGACAGATGGGGAGGCGGGTGGGAGTTGAAGCGCGGCGCTGCAGATTCAAAACGAGAACCCATCAACACATCAAGGCTGTGGGGAAGCATGTTCAAATACCTCCGCCAATTAAAAACATGTGCTTCACGATCGGTTTGCACCTTGCGTCGCATCTGACTTTCCATGAAGAGTTGCAACGTGCTTCAAAATTCATGCGACAACACGCTACCGTGCTCTCGGCTGTGGGGACGTATTGGAATGCCTTTCAACTGCCTTGTAGTGTGTCTGTACTTGTCTAGGGGCGGGGCGACCTATGCCTCGTCGACCGATGTTTCAAGCCGAGCTTCTGCGGGAGAGCTCGGTGTGAGCATCGCGCCGAAAACGAATCCGAGGTGCCAATGGGCTCCAAAGAGCTTCCAGGAAAGCTCGAAGGACACCCTCGAAGTGGCCATGCAACAGCCACTGCAGCATCACCAGTGCGACGCGCTGGAGCATCGCTGCAGCACCGCAGCGCCGCCTTCCAGGCAGCCCAGGATGGGCTCGGACAGGGCTGCGGCGGGAGCTCGGTAGAACAGGCCTGCGTGGAGCTGGATGCTGCGCGGGCGCTTGCTACTCTGGACGGGGCAAGAGTCTCGCCCCCCCCCCCCCTTGTATCCGCGGGGGGCGTTGGGCACATGCTGTCGGAAGGCGTGGAGGGGGGGCTGGAGGTAGGGGAGGAGGAGGAGGAGGAGGAGGGGGGGAGGAGGAGGATGGGGGGGGGCGGGAGGGCAAGCCCAGTCAGAAGGTCAATCACCCAATCACCCCGCCACTTTGTCTGTATATGTATATGCACAGAGAAGAAACATCCAGAGTAGGTGGACGCCAACGATACACCCTCACCGGCCCTGGCCAAGCCCACTCTGGGCCCAAGGTCGGTGTACACGTCGGTCGGAAGAAGCATATAAAAAGCATGAAGCAGGAAGGCGGATAACTTAGATTGGGTCCAGGCCCTCCCAGATAGCAACAAGCATAGCAACTACGTATCGACTCTTCAGGTAGGAAGGCACTTGAAGCAGAGTGGGATCTGGGGATCCAGAAATACCTAGTTTCAACGATGTAGACGCCCGCCTTGCTTGGCCAGGAAGGCGCATACACTTGTCTCGGGACCAAGATCGGCCTGGCCAGGATCGGTGTAGGTGTATAACCGCCGCCCTCAAACCCGCCCCTCCAACGCAGGCTGACGCCACGATCCTACGATCCTACGCGCGGATCCGACTCGCGGGCATGATTCACAGTCCTTCGGTCCTACGATCTTGCGACCCTGACTGGCAGTCATGGGTGCTGCCACGATCCTACGACCCTACGATCACACGCAGTCATGGCG